TGGCACTTTCCACCACAGCATCCATCACTATCTGGCAGCGAGCAGACAACCTGCAGCTTATTAAATCTGGAGGGAGATCAGAGCAGCGGGCGGAGGAGGCTGGGCTGAAAATGGAGGGCTTTGTAGCTTCACTGAGACCACGCAGAGATGGAGAGATGCGTGGTGTACGGCATTAACTCGGGTGTGATTTCAGGGTCAGCCGGTGGTTAACGTGGTGTCTGAATCAAAGGCTTCACATCTCCACTTTAATCCTCCACACGAGGCTTGGTGATGAAAGTAAAGCTGCTTTTTAAGTCCTCCTTTGTCTCTCCTCAGCCCCACTACTTTAGCCGGCATCGCCTCCTCCATCCTCCTGTTTGTGGCCATCATCGCCACCATGGTCTGCTGCTTCATGTGCTCCTGCTGCTACCTCTACCAGAGGAGGCAGCTGAGGGGCAGGACGCCCTACGATGGTGAGACCCCTCCTCTTAATGATGTCCTTCTTTTATACATACCATTAGTTTCCCTTTATGACAGTCTGTCCTTTTTGACCCACAGCCCAGCACATCCCCATGGCCAGCTATCCAGTGGAGCCGATGTATGATGCTTACGGGAAACCCCTGGGACCCTCTCAGTATCTACATGCAGGGTATCCAATGGCGCCCCACTACCCCGGCATGCCCCCACACTACCCAATGATGCCGCCTGGACACTATCCCCCACACATGATGGATCCTACATACGGCCAGGGTAAGAGTGACTTCACATATGGAGCTGCAACGATAAGTCAATTGAAAGGAAAAATAACCTATTACCATTTTAAATATCGATAAATCATCAAAAATATTCATGTGAAAGTGCTGCCTCTTAAATCTGAAGATGTCTTGCTTTTCTCTGTTTTAAATCATATTAAACTGAATATCTACATTATGGGTTGTGGATTGACAAAACAAGACATTCGGAAAGACAAAAGACTTCTGAAACTTTATTAAATCAGCATATGTATCGATAATGAAAAGTGTTATTTTTTATTTACAATTACATTCTTTGCAACAAATGCTAACAAAAACTGTGCATTTATACTATACAAAATCCAAATGGTGTCACCAACTTTTGGGAAAGTGGATCTATTCATGAAAAATGATCATAGAATATGACACCACTCCTGCTCAAGCCACTATACACGGGGAGAACGACAGTGAGTGCTTCTTCTAACAGCCACAGTAAACATGCCAAGGTTAAAAAGCTACATGTTGATGCAAGACATCTCACGATTTAAGAGGCAGGTTGAAACGGTTGAAACAGTCTATGGTTGAAACGTGCACATTTTATGCAACCAATTAATGACTCCATTGTTTGTAACGTAGTCATAGCAGTACATGAAGATCTGACTTTCTTTATGTTTCTATGTTTGTTTTTCAGCCCCTCCACCTTACTCTCCACCTCAGTATCCTGGTCATTGATGGGCTCAACTACCCACACTCACACACAACACACACAACACACACAAGAGTGGGAAACAACAGCAATTGAGAAAAAGGACTGTCTGAAAATAAAAAGGCAGCAACAATCTCACACTCGCACACACACGCACAAACACTCAATTGAACACTACAGCTCGACCAGCAGCAGGCACTTTAAGTTAGTGTTTTTCTATGTATATTTACAATGCTGTCCTACTTTTCTGGAGTGTTTACGCAAGTCCAAATCTGGTCAGCATCCTGGCGACCAATTGTTCCTGTCAGTTTTGTGGAGGCCGTCACACTCTCCCTCAAAGTGACTCTGTGCTGCCACTCTGTGCTCTGGAACGCTCACCTCAATGACAGGATGTCGTCTGAAGACAGGGCTCATTACCTTACAGGAGAGGGGTCAGAAGGAATTTCCTAAAAACTATAACGCACTTCCTCTTTAGTTTTTAGAGGAAAGAGTGTTTTAGTTTGTCACTTTTGATCAATTTGAATCAATGTAAAACTGCCTGAAGCTACATCCCAGGTCAAACACTCCACAAATATGATTACATGATGTATTTATTTCTGCATTTGATGTTTTTCTCCCCCCTGTAATGTGATAGGGGCAGAAAGGAAAACCAAACTACATGTTTGAGAAAAGGGTGACATGTATGGCTCAAAAAGGCAGTGTGATCCTGTCTTAGATGTGCAGGACTTTAAGGTACTCCTTATTCCATGTATGAAGCCTTTAATCGTCTTTTGTTTCAACTTTTCTTCTTCTTTGTATCTGACTTGACTAATTTACGTCATGGTGGTATATTAGCTGCACCATATAGAGTAACATCTTGACATCAGCATGCTACCCCAGTCAAAGTGATCTGTCCTCTCATGCTTCTCTTCTGGTTTTAAATGGATTAGAAGTCTTTAGATGAATCCCATAATGCCAGGTAGGATGTTTTCCAGTGATTTCATGTTAAATGTTCATTTTTTTGTAATATATCGTGTCAAGGGAGTTGCAGGTCTATGCTGCTCAGTTAAAACAAATGTTCCCACTTCATTAAATAAGCATAACGAGCAAAAAACTGATTAACATTTAAAATCGTATTTTGCAAATCTTTTCTTCAGCTGAATATGTTATGATATTGTAATATATTATAGTTATTTTAATCTTAATGGTAAATCCTAACATAAAATACGACATCTTCGCATTTTTCCATTTGGTATTTATTATAATAATTTAGTGTACTTTTTTTTTTTACTGTGAATGGGTTCTCACCTTGTGGACTAGCTACAAAGCCAAACATCTGTTCTGTTAAAAAAAAAAAAAGTCTATTTTATTGATCACCTCTCTTTAAAATTATAGTTTGACATTTTGCGAATAAATCTGGGATATCTTAGAATCCTTAGAAAGTATTAATTTTAACAATGAAGTGATAGAATGGATTTAAACTGCAGTTATCTATATATATATTATTCTTGTAAAAAAAGATTTCAGATATCAACAATCTCATTCTTCCTAAATATAAAACTCACATTTGCCAGTCATAATTGGACAACTTTTATGATTTATAGAATGAACATTTATAAACATTTCAGATATGAACAATTGGAATTGTTCCTCATCACAATTGTAATATCAATTCCATAATGTAATTAAGAAAATCAAGAAATCGCTTGGTAATTATTTTTATTTCAAATTCTAAGCTAACTGCTAAGCTAACTTTTAGAGCTACAGTTACCACACAGACGTGAATGGTGGTATCAGTCTTCTGATCTGGCGGTCAACGAAAAGAAAGCAGATAGGTGCGTCTCCCAAAATGTCGAACTTCTTCTTTTTAATTCACACTTACAGACGTGGGCTCATGTGAGGTCAGGGCCTGTAACCTGTAATGATTCTGTAATTGGGTTTAGCATCGTGCTCAGCCCTGTTCCCTTTGTAAGATGTGTGAGCTGTGAAACATGGAGCATGTGTTGTACAGTAAGCTGTCCGACTAATAGGTGATGATGATGATCTTTATTCGGGTGTAATGTATCCATCTCATGTCGAAATGAGACATTAGATAATAATATGCTGATGGATTTGAGAAGCCTGGCACTTGTTTGGGACTCACTGCTGTAACTTGTCCCTAAACAAGAACTATAACTGCTAGTTTACAGAATAAATTGTTTCCTTAAATGGCGACGTCCATTTGTACAGATTTGTTGAGCCTTTGTAAAGCACAAAGAGAACTGGACTTTTTCTTAGTGAGATGCTTATAGTAGTTTGACATAACATTTGCTCAATGATGTTTATGATAATTTGTGCTTATAAACCAACTCCATGAGTGTGTTTGCTGAAACTGAAATCAGGTGGCAAAATAACTTTGTCTAGATATATTACTTTTTGTCTTGTCATATGGATGGTATGGCACTGTAAAAAGTGAAACGTTTTTATTTCTATTAACATAAAATGTTACTTTGGAATGTAAAAATACAACTGTCTGCCGTGTCTTATTTTTGTCAAGCAATCTAATTTTAAACATTTTGAGAAGGAGGTTATTATGTGTTTACATACATTTGACCACCAGAGGTCTGTATTAACCAACAATGTTCACATGTTGGCTAAATACATTATTTCATTGTCATCAAATATCTTATCCAACAGAAATATGTGTCACTAAACACACTGATTGTTAATTATTTGTTCAATTACATATTTGTGCTCAAGCTAAACATGATTATAGTGTATATTATGCCTTTGAACTGTGACATATGTACATTTTACAATTTCACAGCCCCTACACACACACAGCTGATATACATTTAGCATTGTATTACTTACATTAGATTCACATTTTATTTGTACTTTTATGACTCCCCATTACATGTATAGCCATTCATAATTATAGTTATGGAACAAACAATATATAAATACAATCATTACATGTATTTATATTATGCTTAAACCATTGAATTTATATCTATGACATCATTATTTATTTTGGTTTATTTGGTATTCTCAAATCATTTTAAACATTATTGGATCATTTTAGGATGCAATTAGAACAACATGATTTACTGCTTCTTTATTTTACTGTCTTCGTTTGAACCTTTAGCCATTAGCACAAGAGTTAGCCAATCTGCATTTCACTGCATTTATTTATTGACCACGTTGATCCAACACGTCATTCACATGTTCCCTCTTTAATCATTGGCCTGTTGGGGTTTTATTGACCTCCTGTAAAAACAAAACTTTATTTTTTAACTTGAACTTTTTCTCCCAAAAAAGGTTGGCATTGATTCAAGAAACTAGGAAAACAGTTCCAGAAACACTGATGTGTTAACTATGGCAGAAAAATCTGTTGTGATATTCTGAACGGTTAAAATTAGCCGTACTAAACAGAAATATTAGGGACTGGTTTCAATATAAACATCAATTGTGTAATAGGAAGTCTGTGCTCTGGCGCCTCTGTAAACTTCAGCCCTCCCCATTACCTTTAAAGGAGTGTGTACCCTGATCTAAATATGGACATGCACTTTTACTGGATTTCGAAGAATGTCCCAGCCTCACAGTCCGCTTTGATGATGCGAGGCTCTCGCAGTTCATCACTGGTACCCCTCTCTGTAAGGCTGAGAGTCCAGCCTCTTTGCAGCAGGATTGATGCCTCCGCTGGCTTTTTGGTGAGCAGAGTGCGACGGCACAGCAGGACACCAGCTCTGTCTAATGGGAATACTCGCCTCCTTACCTTAGGGGAGAAGTTACCACACAGTATGGACAGGGATGGGATTTGGTTTTAGTTTATTCCAGGTCTGGATAACTATTGAAAGAAGAAAAGAGAAGCCACAAAAATATTAGTGTCTCCAGACCTATTCTGTCTTCTAAATAATCAGATTCAGCTCCTCCAGAGAAACCACATTTCCCTGCTCTTCTTCACGGTGTAGTAGCTTTTACCCCAGTTTAAGGAAACCATGTCCAGGAGAAGGATGAAAGCCCTGACCCGTATAGGCCGGCAGGTCAGCGAGGACCCAGATTTAGACAACCTGCTGTCCACCCTCTCCCCGGAGGAGGTGGAGGAGCTGCAGCAGGACATGATGAAAGTGCCGGACCTCAAGCCGGAGGATGATAAGGTCCTCGCCCCAGGGGAGAGCCAAGCTGCCGCGCCGTCTACGAGCAACAACGACCGGGACTGTAAACTGGACAGCAGGCGAGAGAGTGACCGTAAAGGGAGGCTCAGCGAGAGGGAGCCGTCATTGGAGGTTTGTGAATCTTTGTCTGTTGAAGTGTCACCTTATATTAGATTAGACTAAACCCACTACCATCTTAAGATGTTTGTATTTGAGTGTTCTTAGATGAGTTCAAACTCAAATGGCAATCTATGCACTCATGTCTGATATCAGTATTTGCCTACGGGGATCAATAAAGGTCAATCTTACATCCACTGTCCCCGAGGTAGTCTAATGATAGCTTTCATGTGCCATTTTTCATTTAGCTTGAAGTAAAGCGCCAACTGGACCTCATGAACACTGACTCCATCAGCTCATAAATAGTGTTGGCTTCTGTGCCAGGGATAAGACAGTTTTCCCTCTGAGGCTTAATCACATTTCACATTCTTAATCAATGTCTCACAACAGTATCAAAAACACAGGAAGACATTTATGTTATTCTGAAAAGAGCCCTCCTTGTCTGAGAGCCAGGTTTCTTGCAGTGTGTGTTTAGACGAGAGGCACTTCAGTGGATGGAGCAGAGGCCCTGCGGAGCTGCTTAATCCCGGCCTGATGGAATTCCTTGGTTGATTGCTCCTACGCTCACTGCCTTTTAAGGTTACATCTGCCAGGGCCACAGCGTCACACAGCAAAACAGATTGAGACTCACAAATCAAGCTACTCCCCACAAATGTATCCCTGCGCTGTAAAAAAAAAAAGATGTCTCCTTTTGCTGAATGTCAACACACATGGCATGTTGTGTCAGGGAGGGTGTGTGTGTTTACAGTGAGCAGATGGACGAGGAGATGTTTGACAGAAAAGGAACACAATATTTAGGTATTGGTGTTATATCATACTAGACATGCCATACATTGTATACTATGTCTGCAAGAAAATGGTATTAGATTACATTTAGGTGGTTTACTTTGTGACATAACTCTATATCCTACCTCATAATCCTCAAATGCATTCTCCTGCAGGGAGACACAAAGAAGGAAAGCCGGAAGCAGGAATATCTGAGGAAGATGGGCCTGAGCCAGGAGGGGAACGACGACGTGACGGTAGGGCTGCGAAGACAAGCTAGTGTCTCAGGTGAAAAAGATATTAAGGTGGAGGACAGAAACAGCAAAGGACCTGGAAACTCGAACGAGGAGGGGAGTCGTCTTTCGAGCCGGTACAGGAAGCAGGAAAGCAGAGAGAGTGATGTGAAAGAGGACAGTGAGAAGCAGGAAGACAACAAGATAAGAGACCGAAGAGACAACAGAGAGAGCACAGGTAGCAAAACAAAGGATATGATCTCTAAGCTACAGGAAAAAAAGGATGACAGCAAAGACAAGAAAGAGGACTGCAGGAGAAAAGATGAAAGCAAAACCAAAGACATTATCTCGAAGCTACGAGAAAAACAAGAGAAGGAAGTCGGCAAGGAGAAGGACAGGCGATCTGAAGGTTTCAGGACATCGGGACTTGTCTCTAAAATGTTGGAGAAGCAGAGCAAGGCCCAAGAAAGCCCGGCTCCGGAGAGTAAACCCGAAGAGAAGAAGCCTAAAGCTGAGGAGAAGAGAGCTGAAGATACAAAGAAGCCTGAGGTGAAACTTGAGCGACAGGCATCAGAGAAAGGTGAGGTGCAGGTGAAACAAGACAAGGCCGAGAACAGAAGCGACAGAGAAGAGTTGGTTAACCATAGTGACCACGTCAAAGAGAAGGAGAAGAAAGTAGAGGAGAAAAAGGATGACGAGGAGAAAAAAGAAAAAGTAAAGAAAGCTGAGGAAAGTGAGAAACTTGGCAACTGTGTGGCCAAAAACAGTCCAATCAGCAAGGCCAAGGAAGAGGAGGACGAGGAAGAAGACTCAAGCATGTTTGATGAGCTGATGGAGCAGGTTCGGAGCAACGACCCCTCGCTCACTGAGCTCAACGTCAACAACTCAGAGGTCATAAAGACGAAAACGCTCATTGAGTTTGCAGAGGCTTTGCACAAGAACACCAATATTAAGAAGTTTGCTTTGGCTAACTGCCGTGCGGACGACCACGTGGCTTATGCCATCTCGGGCACGCTGCGCAACAACAAGACCATCACCAGCATCAACGTGGACTCCAACCATCTCACCGGCAAGGGCATCCTGTCTCTGATCCAGGCGCTGCCACACAACGCCACCCTGACTGAGCTCCGCTTTCAAAACCAGCGTCACATCTGTGGCGGGAAGACCGAGATGGAGATGACCAAGGTCCTGAAGGAGAACTTCACGCTGCTCAAACTGGGCTACCACTTCGAGTTAGCCGGACCCAGGATGACTACCACAAACATCCTGAGTCGCAACATGGACCGACAGAGGCAGAAGCGCCTGCAGGAGCAGAAGCTGGCCCAGGCCAATGGAGAGAAGAAGGGGGCGCTTGAGGTCCCCAAAACAGGGGGTGGAGGATCTCTGAGAAACTCGCCAAGAGCGTCCCCTAAACCTTCTCCCATACCCTCGCCTATGCCATCACCAAAGCTGACTCCTAAAAGAGGAGCTGGAGGTGGGGCTCCACCACCACCCCCGCCTCCACCTGGGGGTGGACCACCGCCTCCTCCCCCTCCCATGCTGAATGTAGACGCCCTGAGGAACTCTCTGACCCCCGTGTCCCAGAGGAAGCTGGATGGAAAAAGCCCGGGAGGTAGTGAGAACACGAGGGACCAACTGCTCGCCTCAATCAGAGGGAACACTAAGAAACAACTCAAGAAGGTACGTAGGGCTGCGCGAAAATATTGACGCACTTTGATATCACAATATTATGTTTTTGATACTATTTCAACATACTAATTGTATAAAAGGGAGCATCTGTTTACTCAAATATGTGCAAAAACTATCAATAAGCACATACACAGGTCAACTGATGCATTTGTGCTAATTAGGGGATTCCCCTTTGATATGTAGTGCTGTTGCATTCAATGGCTTCCTGTTCTTACTTTGAAAAAGGTCTCTGCCCAAAAGTTCGCTTATTAAAATATTTTTGCATAGATCTTTAGTGTGCAGATGCTCTTTTAAAATGTAAGTTTGACAGTCTATCACTTAATTTCCTCCATTACTGATGTTTCTCTATTTCAATCAATAGTTAAAACTATATGAAGTGTGTTAGTATACAGTATATGTTTCATGTTACCTAATTTGTTAACCTAAACAATCCTGCAAGCATTTTTTTACTGACATAGGAAAATGTGAATTCCTTTGCTAAAATTGCATAACATGTAGCACTATGATGTTGGATGGTACTGTGACGGGGACTGTGATAAATGCAAACGCAGATCCCAGGAAAGCAAATGTATACAGTTTTCCTTAAATTATATTTTAAGAATAACAATATGCTGCTACAAATAGAAGCGAACACATCTGTATAATGATACTTATCGTATTGCCTGATTGTTGCCAATGCACAGCCCTGTGTATAAGGTTAGCTCTGCCATAATGCATTCTCACATCACATACTTACATGTTATTCTTCCTGCAGGTGGAAGTGCCAAAGTGGTTGCAATGATATTTGCTTTGGAATGTGCCATGAAAGGGAAGAAAGAGGGAGAAGCGGTTTTCAACATGAACTCTACAGCCTCCAGATGCAGTTGAAGAATTGCACTTCGGGACGGAGAAAAGCGAAACATGAGATGCCCATAGGTCTAATGACGAGCCCTCACTATAAGTTCTCCCCTCAACACTGGACCTAAAGTACTCTGTCGGGAATGAGTGATGCAGGGCTCTCTGACAGCCGACTGCCACGTTCTGTGGTTGTTTGTCTTCAGTACATATTGCCGCTTTGCTGGTTATTTGCACTAGATAATATGAAGCCCATCATATAACATGTTGGCTTCTGTATGCATCTGAATGTGAGCGTGATGAGAGTGCGATTAGTTTATTAATAAGAGATACAATTAATTCTTTATGAAATTCTAATATACAAAAAAAAGTTTATCGTTGATATAGTGGACATTAATTTGACCATTTATTTATTTTTTGAGAGAGAATCTTTCTTATACTTGTACGTCGTAAATCTGTTCAAACTGGGAATTCTGATATTAATGATCAGGAAATAACAAACATGGCGGCCTGACTTAAGAAAAATCTGGGTAATAAAAAAGAGAAAGGTCAAGTGGTCTTTGATTGTGTGTCTCATTCCCATATCTCAAAACATCTCAGGCAGGGTTTAATGGATTGGAAAGAAGCCCATTGGAATCCAGGTGCATGACGAAAGAGTTTTAACATAGAAATAATGACCTGACGCATTTGAACAGAAAGTACAAATGGCTGCCCTTCAGTATCTGATGTTATATTTTGTACAGTCTTTCTAATACCTTCCATAACTTGTAATGAAATGCATCCACATGTCTTAAACGTAAGCGTATTTTAAAACGATTACTGGCATACTTTTCAATACCATACTTTTAAGTGAATGTAATTTCTAAAGGGGTTTAATGTGATGAATAAAAATCAGAGTGCCTTTCATGTGTGCTCCGTGTAACAATTCTGTTATATCTGATTACACATGTCTTTCTTACCGAGCCTGTATGTCTTCAATAAAATATTTTGGTATGTTTGCATTGATAAATCACAAGTGTAATGGCTGATATTATTAAGGAGAATATGAAATGTGAAATGAAATATAACTGGCTTTTGCATTATTTTATAGTGTATACATAATGAGCTATCATCAACCTTAGTTGGTTTATGGTCTGCATGTAAGTGCTCACTTTTAGTAGTATACACAGGTGTATCAATTTTGATTATTTGCATTTAACTTCAGATCTAGCTGTTGCTATGAAGATATGCTAATTATATACAGAGCCATGTGTCAATAGCCAACAACTAACCTGCAGCATGAATAATAAATAGACTCCCACTCCTGTAATACTGCATGTGAATCCTGGCAACAAATGTAGGTTCAGAGCAGAATCTCTTCATCATTATTCTAATTCAAATGACTATGCATCTTTACATTTCTTAACACAAAGCCCTTCAGCTTTATACATCTTAAACATGATCTGATCCCTCCAGCTAGTGAGGCAGCCGTCATCCTGAGAACAGCACCAGGCCAGTCTATGTCTCCATCGCCCTGCCTCAGCTTCTGCATCCACGATATGCCTTTATTTGGGCATTTCTTAATGGAAGCTTGCTCTGCAATTCATTCCTTTCTCGTTCCTAATAATGGGCTGCAGGCCAGCGGTCTGTCTCTCAGCTGTAGCTGCTCCACTGACCAGCAGCACAAACTCACATGGAGGAAAGAGAGGGGAAGGAATGAAAATTGTTAAACTTCAACAAGTAAAACTTTAATGCCAGCCTCCCAAAAGTGCCAAAAAGTTCAAATCAATGCACAGCTGGGAAGAGCAACCTAAAACTGCTTGTTTCCGCTGTCATTTATAATGAGCTGTTGTGTATTGTCTGAACTCTGTCTACTTTTTTTCCAAGTCTATATCATCCCCCCATAACACATCATTTCAATTCTGATTTGATTTTTTCATTTATTTGATCTTTATTATTACTTCTATAACTATATGGCTGCAAAACATGCCTCCTTGAAAACACGCGTCTGGCTACCTTGGAACTGGAGCCCCAGGGTCTAATGTTGGCAGAGGTAGAGAGCCGCAAACGTCATTAAATAAACAATTGCTGGAGGCTAAGGGGTCCCTGAAGTGCCAACAATGTTTTTTCTTCTTAACACTCAGAGGATAACCAAACAACAAGCTAAACGTGTATATTGTTCTTATCCCAACAGATAAGAACCTGCTGTTCCCACAGAGTAACATTACTTTTTCATACTTACCTAAAACGTTGTCATGCTTACCCGGCTGAACCGCAATTTAAACTAGCGGAAACGTTTTTTAATTTCAAATCCATGAATTGTCCCTTTAAGACCTCGCGTTACGTCAGATACTCGATTAGCGTCACGTGGTCTACGTCAGAGGGAACAGCAAAAGAACAAGATGGAGGAATATGCTAGAGAACCATGGTGAGTCTTATAACCAGATATATATACTTATTTATCATTTGTTTTAATAATTCATCTATTTGAAGTCACTAACACTTAAATTGTGTATAACTAGTCTTTTTTACAAAAGGTGGCATTACCCAAAACATCTCCAACACTGCTAGTTACCTAGCTTTAGCACTAATGCTAACTCTACATAGAAATGCATTGGCGGTGTGTGCTAGCATCAGTTGCTAAATCACGTTATTGACCTTGTTGGTTTACTCGCCCACATGTCATTACATTTACTGAACTGACTCTAGTCACTGATTGCATGAGTTGACATGTGATTTATATTGAGTGTCAAGCAATGTTTCGGCAATATCATATGTTAAATTGGAGTAAAGGATGTTGCTTTAGCATGTTAGTAAGCTATCTATGTTAGCCACCTGTGTGCTAATGTTATCTGCCTGGGGCATCCTAAGGATTGTACAACAGCTGGAGAAGGTTACTTGAAGGTTTGTCCCATTTATCTAGCAACACTGTAATTGAAATCAGTGTCAAGGCGGACATAAGGTATTTTACTTTGCTATTGATCAGGATAAGGGACACGATTATACCATGGTCCGGTTTCATGCAGTTAGACATTCCTGGATCAGGTTTAGTTATCAACCAGAGCATTTGAAAAATAAGTTTGTAACATTTTCCAGCATAACAAAAGCGCTTTTTGTAAATGGATGTATGCACTGCTTAATGAATCGAACATTTTAATGAAACGTCTGAATTCCAGTAAAATAAAGCAACTAATTTAGCTTTTTAATTGTTAAAATAAGATAAAATGTTATCGTCCATTTTCACGAAAATATTTCTTTCATCACTATCACCAGATTTTCATTAAAACACCTTAAATTACATCTGTACGGTAACCTTCCTGCATTCTTAAAAAGACTGACAAAACAAAATAGATTTGAAAAAACTACTGACCTTTCATGGATACTTATAGAAGATATTCTGCTTTTAACAAGACTCAACAACACGCACACACACATATCAGAATCAGAAACAGGTTTATTGCCAGGTAGGTTCACACATACTAGGAATTTGACTTGATGTCATCGTGCATACATAAAATATAAGAAATATAATATAAAACACAAAATCTTTTACACTGTAATAAAATACAGTTAAATAGCAATAAAATAACAATTAAATAAAGCAGTGATTTACATGGAAATAGAATGCTATGAATTAATTTTTGCATATAAACTATGAAATGTGAAATCCGAATATGTGCAGAAAGGAGTATGGCATTAATGTAATGCATATAGTTTATGATGTGGCAGAGGTAAAGTGTCAGCGGGGGGGCCGGGCCTTGTTTCAGAGGCCGGTAGCGGAGGGGAAGAAACTGTTCAGATGGCGAGAGGTTCTGGTCCCGATGGAGCGCAGCCTCGTGCCAGAGGGGAGGGGGGCGAACAGTTTTTGTCCAGGGTGGGAGGGGTCGGCCACTATCTTCTCATGCAGGTCGTGGAGGGATGGCAGATTGCAGCCGATCACCTTCTCTGCAGAGCGGATGACACCACATATCTTAAAAGTAAACTGTAAAGAAAAATTAAATGATGTTCCATAAATGATTGTTATTATTACATTTGCATACTTATTCCTTGAGACTCTCCTTTGGATTGAAATCCAATACTTGTATAGTTTATCTAGGCTGAACCTGCCATCAATGATTATGACATTGGCTCCTGCCGCTTCACACTATGTACTGCACATTAAACAACGTTAGCTGATGGCTGTTTTATGCTTCCAGCCCCTGGAGGATCGTGGACGACTGTGGGGGAGCCTTCACCATGGGAGCCATTGGAGGAGGGATATTTCAGGCAGTCAAAGGCTTCAGAAACTCACCCTCAGTAAGTTCAGTCATGTAGATGGACTCTGTTCCTTGCTGTATTACCCGCCGCTTGGAAAATATTAAGAAAACATAAATATTACAATTATTTATCATTACAAGTGACAACTGAGTATGCTAAATACATTTCCATTCACCTGTGTTTTGTGTTGCTCTCCTGTAGGGAATGAACCACAGAATGAAAGGTAGCCTGACTGCAATCAAGACCAGAGCCCCACAGCTTGGAGGTAAGAATAACAGCTGCATTTATATATTATCTGGCTGTAGGTCAAATCAACAACCCGACAGGGTAAAAGCAATTTAATAATGTTTGTCGTTTTATGGATGTTTGTTCCATAGAATCTTACTAGGGACAGGAGACTAGTACTAGGTTGTTTTTAACTTGACCTCACATAACAAAGTGCCTAACAAAGTGCAAAGCATGTCATAACTGTCTAGTTTAACTTGTTTTAAGAAACAATGTTGGGTTTCAGGAAGCTTTGCCGTATGGGGAGGCCTTTTCTCCATGATTGACTGTGGTTTAGTAAAAGTACGAGGGAAGGAGGATCCCTGGAACTCAATTACAAGTGGGGCCTTGACGGGAGCTATCCTTGCTGCAAGAAGTGAGTAAGCTGAGAAGAAGCTGGCAGTTTACAGTCAACAGACAGCGTATACATGCAAGAGGCAAATGGTGGTGTTGCTGTTTTACACTGAGCAAAGAGTTTAAAGTAAATCTACCAGCTTTGTGCAATGTGTACCTTTCTATGTTGTGTGTTAACCATCCTGTTCCTCTGTAGATGGTCCGGTTGCTATGATGGGCTCTGCAGCCATGGGAGGCATCCTGCTGGGTTTGATAGAGGGCGCAGGAATCTTGCTCACTAGGTTCGCCTCTTCACAGTTCCCAACTGGTGAGTAGTACTTATGATATTTGAAGTTTGTGTCATTTATATTTAGGGATGTTAAGCATTTGCCTAGATGAAAACGCAGCTTGGTCTATGTTCATAAGTCTGCCTCCTTTACACCAGATATTAAAACCTTGAAGTCAGAGAACTCAGTGGGTCTCCACATATCATTCTTTTCCTGAGTACCACCTTTTAAAAATAATAATGTTCCCATTGAGGAGCAAACAACTGCAGCTCCCAGCGTCTTTTTTCAGAGACTTCTGCATCTATGTGCGGCAGCTCTGTGTGCTTTTAGTTGAAAATATCTCACCTGTTAACTTGACTATAGAACAATGGAGGAGCTTGCTTTGGCTGTGTCCGTCTATCCTGACCTTTATTTGTCGGACAGACGCTATCATAACAAAGACAAACTAACTATGTATGTGAGATGACCTCTGCTGTGGTAAATAAGTAGTAACCGTCTGTAACGGCTATTTCTGTGGTCGCCCCACACCTGACAAGTTTTTCTACATTTGGATTACCATACTGTGATACATTAGTCACATTCCCACCTGCTACCATGCTTTACACAAACAGCTTCCAATCCCCATTCATAGCCTACTGAAACATCAGGCTGGGAGATATGTGGAAAATCAAATACCTAAAACATCTATGAATTGTCGATATAATATGGGTAAATTCCCCAAAACTACTAAATTTAGATTTGACTGTAGTTACCAGGTGTAGTGTGATATGAAAGATATCTTTCTACAGACTGAGTAAAACATCTAGTGGAGCTTGACCATTTTATTTATTTTCAGTTTATGCAGTTGGGTTAAAAACTTGTAATCCTTGTGTAAAGTTTCCTAACCTAAAGACCATATTTTAAGGTAAAACACAAAATATGTTCATCTAATTATGTCAAAAACATGAATCCCAATAGATTATTTATTCATTAATACAATACATCATGACATTTCATAACAGGAAAAGCCCAGATATAATAAATAACATTTATTATGAGTGTTTTTATTTTTCAATGTTTTATATTGGCGGCAAATCATTCAAATAAATCTGCATAATTATAAGAACCACTACACAACATACTTTAAACCAGTGGTTCTCAACTGGTCAGGCCTCGGGACCCTCTTTTGACTTGGTCAATACATCGTCACCCAACATTTTGAAGCACTCAAATCTATTCAACAAAAAAACGTGCTGTAATATATATATATATACGCTTTTCAGCATACAATATTAATTCAAGTGAAGTACAGTGCATATGTCCCTTCACAAAACTAAAGTATGCTTTTATAAAAGGTTTAATGAGATGATGGAATCAAAGCTGAACTGTATAACATAGAGATTTTTAGAAATACTAACATAAACTATGCATTCTCACTCTGAGAAGAAAATAAATAAATCTATTTCTACCCGACATATTAATAATATTTTATGCCATTGTTTCTTTTCACTTTGTTCTCAAGCTGAACTTGCTGCTCCACACAGAGAGAAGAGTAAAGAGGAGATAGTCTGTGTGACTTACTTTAAATTGTGGNCTCAAAAAAGTTTGCTGCCAGATAGCTGGCGGGCCCTTTACTCTTGATGGTGCTTTATGTACATGCCACCCCCAGTCCGGTGTCCTTCTGCTCAATATCTCCATCAAGAGTAAAGGGCCCGCCAGCTATCTGGCAGCAAACTTTTTTGAGGCAAGTCATGGGAAGGGTGCCCCTGATGGCATAGGAGGAGCACTGAAGAGGAAAGCAGACGGTATAGTCTGCAAAGGAACAGACATACCTGGTGCTGCAGAGCTGTATTCTGCACTGCAGGGAAGTGGAACCTCGGTCAAGTTGTTTTTTGTCGATGAACAAGACATCGACAGAGCAGTTTCAGGGATGCCAAATGATTTGCCTCCTCTTCCGTCCACCATGAGGATGCATCAGGCAGTGANTATCTGCCACAACATAAGTAACCGGAAAAAAGTAACATTAAGTACAGTCCGCTATATCTCCTTATCTGAGTCAGCTGAGCCGTATCTGGCCGTGCAACACTCACAGTGTCAAATACTGTATGCAGAAGTATTATTTTAAGCAACACATTAAGTTGACGAAACACTTGAGACAAACTTTTTCCAGCTGTATTCACCTTGCAAGTGCACCTATGTGGCTTTTATCCTGGATAAAGCGTTTAAGTCATGGATGTTTAAAGTTTAACTTCTTCATATTTGTCTAATTATATAGTTGACTTTTCATTCAGGAAGTATGACGCTGCGCTGTCAGTACGCTTGTCCATGTTTGTGATTGGTCGAATGCTCCAAATACCACCCCTTTCATGTGAACGCGCACCTAACTAGATAGGACACGGCTGGCTTGAGCGATCCACTTGATAACCCGCGTCGTAGGACCGCTTAGCGAGAGCGCGTATGTTTTGGATTAGGCCAACTGGCTAACTCAAACATATCCAGGTTAGGTTGAACCGGCTTCGTAGTACAGGCCTCTGCTCTCGAGGCCTATCCCTACTTTATCTTGGTCAGACGTTATTGTCAGTACAGCGTGTACTTTGTATAGATGTATGTTTATAAATGTTGGAGCACATATCTGATCGTGCAGACTGTGGCAGCAAATGTCCTCTAGCAGGATGTCCAAGCATCTCTGCCTTGAGAAAAGAGAAGATATCTGATCATGCAGTGATGGCCTTGAATTGTGAACACAGACAGTGACTCTTGGTGTGGAGAAAATAAAAAACAAGTCGTTCATTGAAACCCTGCCGCTGCCCACCTGAACTGGAAGAGCATGCAGCGTTTCTGCTCCCTCTCTGTGATCATCTTGAAGGCGTCCAGGCAGCAGTAGCGTCGGTGGCAGTTCCCGCAGCAGAACGTGATGAGAGGGCAGTCGAAGCCGTTGTGCCAGGTGCCGTTCTTATCCACGTACCACAGACAGTCCTCATTCGCGCTGACTGCAAAACAAATGTCACATTACAGGGAAGATCACGATGATCAAAAAGACACAAGGTAGCTCAGACTTCAGCTTGTCCTCTGGAGACTGTATTGTCCTCTTTTTGATCTCTCACTTTTACCAACATGCTGTTGTTTTATCGCACATTTGGAAAGTGAGGAAATGCTTTCACTTACAGATACTGCTTTGTTCTGCCTTGAGGAGAAAATTAATATTGATATTGACGGTGTACGAGCTCTTTTCTTCCTTTACAGTGGAATGGTTGCAGGCTAAATCATACATCATTCATTAGTTCACTGTGGCAGGAGTTGAAAAGTTATAAGGTGAATAATAAAAAAGAATCCTTTTTTTTATTGTTCTACTGCAACTAAGAAATATTTTCTTTGATCATTTGGTCTATAACAACACTGCCCTGAATCAAAACTATGATCTGTTATATTCCTGTGGCACAAAGGCTTGCTGACTGACTGGCATTTGGCTTCAGATGACAGCCCGCTCACAGCCACATTAGTGGAAGGCTGCTAAAAGTCACACCTAATTGTTCATTTTACACAAGTTTTCTTACGTCTGTGTGAGCAATGGTATACACATAAAGCGTCCTTGACTATACAAACTGACTGAATACTGTAAAATAAACTTTATTTAGTAACTAAACAGTATTCCCAGAGAGCTGCTGTTCCTTTGTTGATTTCTCTGTGTGTATAAAACTGATGGAAACTTTGCTAGAGGACGTCTGCAATACATTGTTGAGCCTCTATCTATTTATACTGGCACCTGAAACGGTTTAGACTTTTGGACAGAGACTTTTGGAGGGCTGGCATGGAGATGACTTATTCTGTCATTTAAGCTTAAGCACTGATATTACAACATATTTGATTGTGTAGGACTATTATTGTCTGGTTGTTTACACAGCGAGTCTTAATATGAATCTTTGCTTAACATGTTGACTGGCAGTTAAGTACCCGAGTGTAGGAATACTCTGTTACAAGTAAAAGTCCTGCATTCAAAATGTTACTTGTGTAAAAGTACAAAAGTATCAGCATCAAATTATACTTAAAGTACCATCAGTAAAAAATAATCATTATGCAGATTGGCCCATTTTTAGAATAGTATATTTTGATCATAATTATTGATGCATTAAAGTTTTTATCAAAGTTTGTACATGAGCAGCTAATTTGTATTATTTTGTATACTGCAGGGTAGCTTGTACATTTTGCTCCAGGTTTTTTAAGTGTTGATTATGTCAAATCTTATTTCTAAATCTGCAAAGTAACTCAAGGTATTAAATGTATTTAGTGGAGCAAAGGTAAACAATTGACCTCTGAATGGTAGTGGGGTTGAAGTACAAAGTAACAAAACATTGAAATACTCAAGTAAAGTACAAGTCCCTCAGAAGTTAGTTAGTTACTTTACAGTACACCACTTGAAACCAATAATATCAATGAAAAAAAGAATGCATGAAATAATAAAAACAAACAAAGCAATTTAAAAAATAGTCTGTATTGCAAAAGGAAAATACACAAAACTAATGCAATAAAGTAGCTAGAACTGCCAGAGATACATATTTTCATAAATGTGACACTAATTTCTTAAGCATTGGGTTATTTATGATTTGTTTTACAGGGATACTTACTACACTAGCCGTAATGTTATCAATATTAGTGAGCGAACAATCAATAAAACTCCAAGAAAGCTCGCACACAAACAAAAAAACGCATGAACAGCAGTAGTTCACAGGGGACTGAACTAATGGGTGCTAAGATAATGTAGACGGACAGTGGAACAGTTATCCAGGCCTCACATAAACCTCGAGGTTTGGAAGTAAACAGCCGGAGCGCATCATTCGGCAGCCGCGGAGCAGACGTTGTTAGCTAGCCGAGCGGCCTGCACGGTGATCCGTAATCTTACCGTGAGAAGAGCAGAGGACCACGGTGAGCAGCGCCAAACCCGCCGCCATGAGAGACATGTTGCCCGCTGCAAACATCCTCCTAATTCAACACCAAGAGAGGGATATTGTGAAGAATAGGTGTAATTAAAAATAATAACCCGACTAACTGTCGTTTGCAGACATTGTCTAGGCTTCGGAACAGCATAGAGGAGTAGC